AGGAAGATGGGAGGAAGACAGGAGGAAGATGGGGGAAGACAGGAGGACAACAGGAGGAAGATGGGAGGAAGACAGGAGGAAGATAGGAGGAAGATAGGAGGAAGATAGGGCGAAGATGGGAGTAAGACAGATGGAAGACGGGAGGAAGACAGGTGGAAGACGGGAGGAAGACAGGAGGGACACGAGTCAATAGTTGGCAGCAGCTCAGCCTGGAATGAAGCGGTAATAACATGGATCATAAAATGCTCTCTGCGTGCCGTGATGAGTGATGACATGCATTAAAGCTGACAGGGTATTACCTGCCAGTAATTAGGTTTGGTCAGGAATTGAATTATTTCAAGGCTGCCTATCTTGATAATCACCAATTTGCTGCAGTGTGTGTGTGTGTGTGTTTGGATCCCCCCCCACACACCTCTTTCCATCTGCCCTTGCACCCTCACGCTTAGTTCTGCCAAAGTCAACATCCCGGCATGAGTGGAAGCTGCAGACAGAACAGCTCTCCGTACGGTAAGTGACCCCTGACCTTTCACACGGTACGTGACCCCCGACCTTTCACTTCAGGCTGTGATGAAGAAGCCACGCGCAGTTTGATGTTAGCTCCTTGGTTGTTGAGTTCCATCAGAGCTTTGAAATAAAACCCCTTAAAGTTGAAGGTAGGAAGTCACGGGACACGTACCTTGAAGTGACACAATCAGGTCCCGTCTTCAGACTGTCCTCACAGCTAGTCCTGATCTTCTACAGAAACCAGTAGAAGAGTTGTTGCTCTTTGCTCTCCCTCCCCCTGAATCTGAGCATCTTTAGTTTTCTGACAGAGAAAAGCGACACGGTGCCTCCTCTCCTATTTAAGCCCCGTTACCCGGTCCCCAGTCGGCAGCACACTCCAGCTCATCCAAGAAGCTGACAAGCACCGTTAGGGGAAGGCAGCGCATGTTGCTCTAATGGACCTCATTAAGCACTACTTACAGATGTTCTCTTAACATAATTGATCTGCAGTGAGTTGAGAGGACTGCAACCTATTCCCCAGCCCCCAATTATGGCCCAGTAATTAGATCCCCAACCTCCTGTTCTCCACATTCACCCTTCTAACATTCCGAAATATCAAAGTATCTCTTTCTCTTAAAGCGACCACCTCCTCCACCATCTCACCTCCATGTCTCCTCCCTCCTTACCTCCCCTCCACCCCCCAAACTACTATTGACAGTCAGATGTGCTGGTCTTTGTAGTGCAGCAGCTCGGCTCAGTCATATTGATAGAACTCACTTCTCTGAACCTTTTTTCTCCGCCGGGACACAAACATGGAGTGAGCGGCACCAATGGAAGCCGATAGAAATAATGTCAGTTAGCATGTTTTATAAAGGCTGGCGATGAAAATACCAGCCAGGAGAGGGTTTTTTTCTGTGGCAGGCTCTTTTATAATAAGTAAGTCTGATGGAAATCTTTTTAACAGAAAAATTGTGGATGGATGGTGGGTGGTGAGGGGATGTGATAACTAAAGGTTCACTGTTTATGATGTTTCATCACATGTTTAATTAAATTACTTGCCAAATTTCATGCCAGAGTTTCACACTAAGATTATTTGAAGCTGACAAATGAAAGAGTTGTAGCAGTTTTGCTCAAACTTTGAAAGTAATATACACATTCTCAAGAAACATTATGAATCGGTGCTGTGAATGACTCCCAGTTTCTATAGCATCATATTTTAGCCCAGTCTCTGTAAAACTGACTTAGGTCAGTTGGTCACACCATTTGTGTATGGGTCAGTGGCAGCTGGCCAGTAGAGGGTGCCAGGGCGCCGCCTCACCACATTACCTTGAAGAAGACATAAAAAAAAAAAGAAATGGTAAAATTAAAATATTTCAAAATATATATATTTATTTTTTCTCGTATAAGATAAATATTTTCTAGTTACTGATGAGTGAAGTTGTTTTGTTCAAAAATGTTGTCTGATTGGTGATGTACAAACCAGATTCCAAAAAAGTTGGGACACTAAACAAATTGTGAATAAAAACTGAATGCAATGATGTGAAGATGGCAAATGTCAATATTTTATTCGTAATATAACATAGATGACAGATCAAAAGTTTAATCTGAGTAAATGTAACATTTTAAAGGAAAAATATGTTGATTCAAAATTTCACTGTGTCAACAAATCCCAAAAAAGTTGGGACAAGTAGCAATAAGTGGCTGGAAAAAGGAAATTGAGCATATAACGAACAGCTGGAAGACCAATTAACACTAATTAGGTCAACTGACAACATGATTGGGTATAAAAAGAGCTTCTTAGAGTGTCAGTGTCTCTCAGAAGCCAAGATGGTAAGAGGATCACCAATTCCACCATTGTTGCGCAGAAAGATAGTGCAGCAATACCAGAATGGTGTTACCCAGTGTAAAATAGCAAAGACTTTTAAGTTATCATCATCAACCGTGCATAACATCATCAAAAGATTCAGAGAATCTGGAACAATCACTGTGCGTAAGGGTCAAGGCCGTAAAACTCTACTGGATGCTCGTGATCTCCGGGCCCTTAAACGTCACTGCACCTCAAACAGGAATGCCACTGTCAAGGAAATAACAAAATGGGCTCAGGAATACTTCCAGAAAGCATTGTCAGTGAACACAATCCACCGTGCCATCCGCCGTTGCCAGCTGAAACTCTACAGTGCAAAAAGGAAGCCATTTCTAAGCAAGCTCCACAAGCTCAGACGTTTGCACTGGGTCAGGGGTCATTTAAAATGGAGTGTGGCAAAATGGAAGACTGTTCTGTGGTCAGATGAGTCACGATTTGAAGTTCTTTATGGAACACTGGGACGCCATGTCATCCGGACCAGAGAGGACAAGGATAGCCCAAGTTGTTATCAACGCTCCGTTCAGAAGCCTGCATCACTGATGGTATGGGGTTGCATGAGCGCTTGTGGCATGGGCAGCTTGCATGTCTGGAAAGGCACCATTAATGCAGAGAACTATGTTCAGGTTCTAGAAGAACATATGCTCCCATCTAGACGTCATCTCTTTCAGGGAAGACCCTGCATTTTTCAACACGATAATGCCAGACCACATTCTGCAGCAATCACAACATCATGGCTACGTAGGAGAAGGATCCGGGTACTGAAATGGCCAGCCTGCAGTCCAGATCTTTCACCTATAGAGAACATTTGGCGCATCATAAAGAGGAAGGTGCGACAAAGAAGGCCCAAGACGATTGAACAGTTAGAGGCCTGTATTAGACATGAATGGGAGAGCATTCCTATTTCTAAACTTGAGAAACTGGTCTCCTCTGTCCCCAGACGTCTGTTGAGTGTTGTAAGAAGAAGGGGGGATGCCACACAGTGGGAAAAATGGACTTGTCCCAACTTTTTTGGGATTTGTTGACGCTTTGAAATTTGGAAACAGATTTTTCCCTTAAAATGAAACATTCTCTCAGTTTAAACTTTTGATCTGTGATTTGTGTTCGACTGTGAATAAAATATTAGATGTTGGCACCTCCACATCATTGCATTCACTTTTTATTCACAATTTGTTTAGTGTCACAACTTTTTTGGAATCCGGTTCGTATTTCCACCCTGGGGGCACAAAAATCTTTGCCCATAGACTCATTAAAAGTTGTACATGCACAGTAACTCATCTTAAGTACAAGAGATAGGACCATCCTGGGTGCACCTCTCCTGCGCCCAGAGCTGAATGCATAGTACGGCTCGTGCTTCCGGAACACATCGTGCAGTGACACTTACAACCAGGCTATGTGAGAGAGGCTAGCTGCTGCAGGTAGGCTTTAAGCCATTGGAAGCCCTTTATCTAATGCCTATGTTGCTATTTCTGACTGATGTGCCTCTCAACTTTTATGTCTCTGATTGTGGAAAAACCTTCAGCTGACTGTGTATTCTAAAAGTGGGAACTGGTGAGTTTTTGTTTCTGGAGCTAGCATGCTAATGCTAGCCCCCACAGGTTGTTATTTTGGGCTTTGTGATAAATCAGTGCTATTGCTACAATTATTTGAATGTGCTTATAGAAAAAATAATAATCTAACATTAATACTTTTCTATATAAATGTCACTGATGGTATTGTTCTATTTCTGAACACCTGCATTTGTATTGATCTGGAGAATGAAAACAAGCGTCTTGCAATAAGTAAATGGCTCCTAATGTTAACATTGAAGCATTTAAATTGAAGGTACATTCAAATGGTGAAATGCTGTTGCTATATTGTGTGCTAAGGACCGGTGCAATATTAAGACCTTTAATATTAGTAATATTTAAGAGTACTCAAATAATGAGCTTGATTCTATTTAGGTACCACATCCCTCCAGCAGTCGAACCAAGATCTTCTGAACCAGCTTTATTATAAACCATCCTATATAAATATTATTTAGGATGCATATATAGTATATGTTACATACAGTATATGTACATGCATACATGCCTACATACATACATACACACATCTCTCTCTATATATATCTATATATATATAGATAGATAGATAGAAAGATAGATAGATAGATAGATAGATAGATAGATAGATAGATAGATAGATAGATAGATAGATAGATAGATAGATAGATAGATAGATAGATAGATAGATAGATAGATAGATAGA